GATTATTTCAAGCACCCTTCATCAACAATATGTGACCTGCTCTATCGAAATCAGTCGCATTGACCCGAAGACACATTTTGAGTTGTATACACTGCTGGAAAGAGGATATTCCTAGCTTTCTAATGATATCAGGATTGTTTTTGTACTCCAAATATTAAGCAAAAGATGTCCCATTATATAATGACTGTCACAGAGTCCTCATTTTGAGAAAAAGGCCTTTAAAGTTTCCTTCTCTGGAATCCATCGATCTGATTGGTTATTAGCAAATGATCAAAGTAGTACGGAGGGAAGATATTTTCGTTTGGATTACTGGTCTGGGGGAAGCTCGCGAGTGTGTGTGTGTGGTGTGGTGTGGTGTGGTGTGGTGTGGTGTGGTGTGGTGTGTGTGTGTGTGTGTGTGTGTGTGTATTGTGTTTGTTTCCCGGGGAAAACCCTCACGAGAAACACCGGCTGTTGTTCTGCCTGCTGTGACGTCAAGTTACTCCGTTCTCCGCTTGTAATTATGCCGTTACAAGCTTCAAAGTTGTATTTATCTTCTGAATTTGCCGAAACAAGTTTAATATTCTGAAAGCCAAGACTTTGTTTAATTGAAATCAGATGAAAACAAACTGTAACGGACCCTGCCGTGTTATCTATGATTACTATACTCTTACATTCATAATGTCAGCCGGGGGGGGGGGGCGGCGCTGTGGAAGAGCAGATTGCGAGTGAGTGCTGTCTTCGTCCCTTTACAAGCTTCAAAAATGTATTTATCGTGTGATTTTGGAAATAAAAGTTTCATATTCTGAAAGCCAAGACTTTGTTTGTTTAAAATCAAACAAAACACCCGAACCCTGAAAAATTCGTTTTTTACGCAAATCCACGTTTATTTTGAAATGACCCGTTGCGACTTCCGACTGATTTCGATAGAGCGGGTCACAAATACATTCATGTCAATTACTCCTAGGTAACTATAATGAAGCTCTCCTTACCATCTCCCCCCCAGACATGATTCATGCCCCCCCAGCCGATCAGCTACAATTTAAAAGGAAGAGGACAACATCTCAGGCGACAGTAACGTAGTCGGTGGCAAAGTTCAATCAGCCAGCAGGCTCTTTAGAGGATTAACTATCCCAGCTCAGTGACTGTGCCAGGCTGTTTAGCAGATTACCTATCTCACTACGCAGGATTACAGACTGGGAAAAACAAGAGAGCAATGAGAGGGAAGTGAGGGTTTAAAGAAAGGAGGAATGAGATGGGAGAAGATGCACTCTAGTCACTTATTTCACAGTGCATGCACTGTGTAGGTGTCCTGCAAGCTGTAGACATTTTACGCAATATCCAAATAAAATACATTTTATAAATGTAGTCTTGCCAGCTCTACCCTTGAATAGTCACATTTAGAGACAAATGTGTATTAAACTAAAAGCATAATAATCCTGGGGCGCTCTCAATGCTAGTAGTATACTACATGATGTATATTCAACTACTTTCAACTAGGGCTGTGCAATTAATCGTATTTTAATCGCGATTACGATTATGGCTTGCGACGATTATGAAAACAGCATAATTGACAAAATACGATTATTTTGCTGGGTGCGCTTTCGCCCCTCCCTAAAAGCCCACTCGGCCACGTGGGAGTGACATGTGTTGTGAGTGTTCAGCGCGAGCGAATATGTCAGAACAAGAGCAGCAACTCGTTAAAAAGAAGGGTACAACTATTTCCACTATTTGGAAGTACTTTGGCTTTCAGGAGTCCGACGTGGAGCAAAACAAAGTACAGTGCAGGATTTGTTACCAGGTTGTGTTGGCACCACACACTAACACAACCATCTCTTTAATCATCTGAAATACAACAACAAAGTGCAATACGACCGGGCAGTAATACAACAAAAAGCAGATGCCCGCTCGACTTCATCCACCACATCATCACAGTCATCGATTCAGGACGCATTGTACAGAGCAATGGCCGACGCGACGAGCTCGCAGAGACACAGATATATTACAGGTGCCATTACATTTCACATCGCTAAAGATATGTGCCCAGTTAGCACTGTTAGCAACCAGGGCTTTAAGCAACTTGTCAACACGTTGGACAAGCGTTACGCGATGCCGTTTCTGTATTATTTCAGCAGGTCTGCGCTGCCTGCACTATATGACAAATGCCGTGGGGAAGTTGAGAGAGATGTGGCTTCAGCTGACTACTTTGCGACCACAACGGACCTATGGTCTAGCCCAGGGGTGCCCAACCAGTCGATCGCGAGATGTCTAAAAATAGAACAACAATATTCTGTTTTATCGTTAATGTCCTGTAACATAATCTTCCTGTGCCAGAATAATGCACTTGAACGCATCAAAGCTTTGTGATTGGCCGGCGTCACCCCTGTGTCGGGGCGTGGCTGAGGGTCTTCAGTACAGGTGGCAATATTGTCACCTGCCTGCGCTCATCTCTGAAACCAGACCATGTAAACAGGCTGTTGTTTCTAGCGAACAATCTTTAAGAGATGACACGAGCAGCCCTACCAGCATTTGCCATGGTGGCCTAAACATTTGTATTTGGTCTTAAATTGTAGTTCAACATTTATTTCCTGTTACTTCTGGACCATGACGGTTGGCCAGCCTTCAACGTTTAACTGAGTGGAATATGTTGAATATGTTTTACCAAAATGTTGGCTATATGTTAAGGAGTTTTCAGTAGGTTGTGACAGTGCACTGCATCATGTTTGATTTCATTTATTTTGGTCTAATTTATTTTTATTTATCATATTAATATATGTTTAGTATGGTTTTGGAAGTGCGCTCCAACATATTTGTTGATCTTGTTTATTGGTAAAATATTATTTGTTTTAAAGTTCAATAAATGGTCAATGAATAATCGTCAAAATAATCGTGATATCAATTATTGACCCAAATAATCGTGATTATGATTTTTGCCATAATCGCACAGCCCTACTTTCAACTTATCCTGTCGATTCTGTTTTCACGTGATTTTATTTGAAATTAATTGAATTTTAAGCTTCAATTTGGTTACCTTAAAGGTCCCATGTTTTGGCCATTTCTACAGATCATAATTCCATTGTTGAGGTCTACTAAAATAGATTTACATTGTTCAATGTTCCAAACTCAAATTGGTTTCTCAGACAGCATGTCTGTATAGTATGTGTATTCACTCTCTGTCCTAAACGCCTTGAGTATTTTCTGTGTTAGAGTTTTACTCGCTACAGGGTGTACTTTGAGGGTTTGTGACTCTGCAGACCGTTTACATGCAGAAAAACCTTCATAACACAAGGGGACGGGGTGATAACCAGAAAAGCATATGATGGGACCTTTAAGTAAGAGGGTGCAGCGCCCCTGTTACATGGTTTAGACAAAACCCTGGTATTTAAATACACCATAACAATCTATAGAGTTTCATAGAGTACACAATATGAAAACACACAATATTATAGAACTATATCGGAGGACCAGGGGGTTTCCCGATGGCCAGGCCAGGCCTGTTAAGTGGCCTGCTGGTCCGAAGATTTTTTTATTTTTTTTATGAATTGTGAATGCAACGCTGCGCAAATGTGGGTCTGCCTCACACAGGGGGACTGGCTGTCCACATGATGTGGTCTGCCTCACACAGGGTGACTGGCTGTCTACATGATGTGGTCTGCCTCACACAGGGTGACTGGCTGTCTACATGATGTGGCCTGCCGACATGGCCACTGTCATACAGATCATAAATCAAAGCCCTTGATTGGTCTCTGTGTGTCAGTCAAGCTCGGGATAACCTCAGCTCAGGTGAGGTTAAGGACTCTCTGAGTGTTTAGATAGTTAACTTAGTCTAAGTTCTCAGTGGGTCTCAAACGGTTTGGTCACCATTTATGTAAACACATATTTCCATTTGAGGGGGGAGTGATTAGTAAAAATAAGCAGGAATAAAAAGAAAGAAAAGTTAACTAGGTGAAAAAAGGTAAGATAAACTTTAAAAACTTGTTGAGAGCTAAAACTAGTTTTTGCTGCTGCCTCAAAGAGGAGCAGGGGGAGAGGGGGAGAGGAGCGAGAGGAGCAGGGGGGAGAGGAGCAGGGGGGAGAGGGGGAGAGGAGCGAGAGGAGCAGGGGGGAGAGGGGAGAGGAGGGGAGAGGAGCAGGGGGGGAGAGAGGGGACGAGAGGAGCAGGGGGGAGAGGAGCAGGGGGGAGAGGAGGGAGAGGAGCAGGGGGGGAGAGGAGCAGGGGGAAGAGGAGGGAGAGGAGCAGGGGGAGAGGAGCAGGGGGGAGAGGAGCAGGGGGGAGAGGAGGGAGAGGGGGGAGAGGAGCAGGGGGAGAGGGGGGGAGAGGGGGGAGAGGAGCAGGGGGAGAGGAGCAGGGGGAGAGGAGCAGGGGGGAGAGGGGGAGAGGAGCGAGAGGAGCAGGGGGGAGAGGAGGAGGGAGAGGAGCAGGGGGGAGAGGAGGAGGGAGACAGGAGAGGTGGATTCAGGAGCCCAGACACACACAACTATAAATGAACCAAAAATAAATAAATAAACAAGTTTCAGTGTTTTTTCATATTGGATATGGGATGTTATTGGTTAGGGTTATGTTCTTATGATTTTATGATTATTGAAATGTATACAGTTCTGTTTCATATGGGTGTTCCCATAGATCTAGTCTCTTTATTTTGCAGATTGATACATTTAACTCCAAACTAAATTTAAAAAATCTTACTCGGGGGGCATGCCCCCGGACCCCCCTAGAGGATTTGAGGTCCACCCCCACTTCAAATCACATGGACAGGTTCCTAAATACATTTACCATCTTTTTTAAATAGTAACCCATGTCCATATGTTCATGTGTGGGTAGTAGATTTAAACTATAGGGCTATCACTATGGGCCCTGCCTGTACCTGTTCACTCTGCCATCGCGTGAAGGGTCTGCTAACAAGCGACCAACAGAAAGGTTCATGTTGTTGCACGTCACAAAGGCACGTCACCTCCACCTCCACCGCCCCCCCCCCAAAGTATATTTCATATCTGTGGGAAACACTGTGTGTTTTGCTCACCTTAACAAAGTTGTCAGGGAAGAGGCCCCTCTTCCCCTTGAGGTCCCCCTCCATCCAGCCATCCTCTTCTATATAGCGCACGTTCTTGATGATCTCGCCCGGTCGCAGGGTCAGTTCGTCATCATGGAGCGCGTCGTACTCATACTCCACCAGGACCTCTGCTCAGGACAGGGGGAGGGAGGAAAAGCACACAGAAATTAACAAAATATCAATAAACTAACACTACGGAGCAATGTCCATTTCACATATTTGTTCCTAGCATCTATTTATTTATTGGGGTTCGTACAGAACATATACACTTTATAGTCCATGATGGTAAGGAGCAGGGAGAAGAAAGTATTGATTTGACCTGCCCCTTACTCAAAAACAGATGGTCTGTCAATCACTGCTACCTACAACCAAATACTTATATTAACATGAAAACAAAAAAACATGAAAACAACATCTACTATCAGTGAAACGGATTACCTGGCAGTTTGACATTGTGCATACAGTCTGATTAAGATGTTACAACAGCCCTTTATATAGTTTGCTATGGATTCCACAGTTTAAACCCCACAGGATCTATTACTGAGTCATAAAACCATTTCATTTGATGACAGGTCGAGCATTTTGTATAGAAAACGGAAGAGCAATTAAATAGTTAAAATAATCCGCAATAATCATAATAGTTCAAAAGAAGCGAAAAAAGCCCCAGTGATGAGTTGACTTTCTAAATGCATTTTGTCTCTTTTTTTTTAGACAAATCTTAAAGGTCCCATGTCATGGCCATTTCTACTGATCATAATTCCATTGTTGAGGTCGACTAGAATAGATTTACATTGTTCAATGTTCCTAACTCACATTGGTTTCTCACAGCATCTCTGTATAGTATGTGTATTCACTCTGTCCTAAACGGATTGTTGGAGCTCCTGTCCCCCCCCCCTCCCTATGAGCCCACTGTGCTCTGATTGGTCAGCTCACCCACTCTGTTCTGATAAGTTCTCCACCGTTACAGCGGAACATCAGTGATTATGTGTTACCATGGCGTTAGCAACCAGAAAGTGACACCAGTAAGGACAAACAGGTGAGAATGCAGCGTGGGGTCTGGGTGCCGTGTAGGCGGGACGTTGCGCGGCTCTCTGCTGCGAGGAGCGGACAGTGGTGTTCATTTTGTCAGCTACTTTTTAATTTAGTTTTAGTCTTTGTCCTGTGTTAAATGTCCTTTTTAGTTTTAGTCATATTTAGTCACCTTCATCCTGTTTTTATTTAGTCAAGTTTTAGTCGACTAAAAGTCTGATCATTTTAGTCTTATTTTAGTCAAAGAAAACTAATTATTTTAGTCTACTTTTTGTCAATGAAAACTGTTGAGTCTTTTTTAGTCATCAGATTATATAGAACATTTCAGTCAAACTGGTCTAGCCAAAACCAATCATTTGTCATTTTAGTCAAACTTATTCCACAATAAGATTATATCTTGTCCTTATTTGATGAAAAACAGGTTGAATGATTAAGAAGCTTTGCAGAGAGTATCTGGTCAGGTTTGTGGTGTTTTCACCAGCTGTGTTATGGCCGCATTGCTTCCCTTCTGATGAAACAATGCATTCGCTTTTGTTCTCCGCCTCATTGTAGCGAAAATGGGCCCAAATATCACATCGTTTCTTTCTCCCAAGCAGTGGTGGCTTTAGACTTTTTCGTTGTGTGACGACCCCTCCCCCCTTCTGCCTGGCTGTGCTCCCTGCCTTGCTGTCCTCTGGTAGGTGCTGGGAGTGTCGTCCTGTTTGTGCCCGCCCATCTAGAGGCGGAGCCTCAAGAAGGTATAAAGGTTGCCCAGCTGCAAGGTTCAGTCTCAGATCCTGGCATGCTGCAGCAACCTCAGCCTTCAGCCTGTGTTAGGTTTGATGCACCCTCCAACATGCTACAACACCCTTCCACACACCCACACACTGCTCACACTACTGACAGTCTGATTCTTACGCACACTATATTCATCAGAGGTGTTTTTGGTTAACTTGTTAAATAAACAGATATTTAGCATTTAACTCTGTGTGGCCTCCCTATTTGTTCCAGCCCTTAGCAGGTTGTAACAGTTGTCAGTCATTTTGAGACAGGATCGTAACATTTCCGTCATAATCCATTATTACCCGTCGAGTGCACAATTTATCAATCACTCGCGCTGACGGGGGGGGTCTTCGGTTAACGCGAGTGCGACCACTGCTGCCAAGCCCTGTTGTTGCCATTTCATTTTCTGTTAAATAAGGTTAGTTAGACCATGAGTTAGAGCCGAGTCTTCCTGACAGTTCACAGTGTGCCGCTGCCCGGTGTAATTCAAATCTACCGCCGCGCGCAGCACAGACACACAGCTGCTGCCCTGCCGCAGCGCCGGAAATGGAACTGCTGGGAGAAAAACTGACTATCAGAGATGTAACGTTATCTTTGATAATATTTCTTCTCCTCATTTTTCGTCAACGAAAGTAAAGAGAGATTTTGGCATACTTTTTATTTAGTAAACTACCTTTTCGTCTCGTCACTTTTCGTCAACGATATTGCATGATGATTTTGTTACAGTTATTGTTTACTGCCGTCGGTGCCGTCTCGGCATCGTCTCGTTTTCGTCATGGAAAAAAAGGTCGTTGACCAACATATGTCGTCGTAGTTTTAGTCAACGAAATGAACACTAGCGGACAGTGTGAGCTGGATTACTGGTGTTGTTTTCTGGTTGCTGCGTGGGGGCTGCGAAACTCAGCCTGAGCACCATGGACGCGGGAAGGGGGGGTGCTGAGGGGGCTGCACTAGCACCCGCACCCCCCCCCGCACCTACAGTGTAAATGTGCCACAGGTTATCCGCTGCAAGGCTCCACTCGCACCCCCCCCCCAGCGTGTCACAGTTTCGCTGCTGAGAGAGTGTGTGTGTGTGTGTGTGTGTGTAAGGAGCTCCAATTGGTTCCCGGAAGAAAACAAATTGAAATAGAAAAATCTCCAATGAGGCGTTCTGGGGCAGCACAGACAGGTATTTTCTGTGTTAGAGTTGTACTCGCTACAGGGTGTACTTTGAGGGTTTGTGACTCTGCAGGCCGTTTACATGCAGAAAAAGCATCATAACACACAAGGGTTAACCGGAAAGGACCGGATGGGTAACCGGAAAAGCATGACATGGGCCCTTTAACTTAACCTTGTAAACCAACTACATGCCTAGAACCAAAACAACAAATGTTGTTTCCTACACAAATGAATGTGTAGGAATGGTTGGCACATAGCAAATTGGTCTAAAGTCTAGCCAAAAAAAGGCTCACTGTTTAGTTTCTATTGTGCCGAGATAAATGTGCCTCACAGCGCACTGATCAAATCTTGCAAACCCAGACTCAATATTGTAGTGCTAAAAGAAAAAACGATTGACTCAGCTCTTAAGATGAATGGATGCCTCTGTGAGTAATAAGATGTGGTTTTGATTTACAGGAACCGGACCTTTTCCCGTGATGTTTAAAGTGTGTTACACAGCAAGTTACATTATTCCAAAAATAGAAAGCAACAAGATGTTTGCATTTACCATTGCCATTCCAACAGGAAGGAAACATGGTGGAAGTAAGACAAGTAAAGTAATTTAGATGTAATTAATGAAGTAAAAAGCTTCACTTAAGACATGCTCTCAAGCTAAGCTGAGTGAGACTACAGTCGTAGAATCTCTTTAGTCGGATGCAACTTTAGTCATCTGAATTATGATTGTAATGTTTGACCAAGCATCATGCATTGCTATATTCTGGGTTTTTTTGTCCTGGCTGTTTCAAACAGCTGAAAATAAACATTTGGCTGTACGTGAAGAAACAGCAAAAACATTTGTAAATAATCTATGCAAACAGACATTTAAGATCGTGCAAGGCAGTTTGACAAGCAAGTTGACTGATTCCAGTCCAGCAGGTTGAGCAACCTCTAAAAATAAGGCAGCTGTAGAGGACTTACTGGAAGAGAAGTATTTTACTACGTGGTATGGCCCTTTAAGACCTGACTCATTGCTATGTTTGTAAAATGTAAACTTCTTAAATGTTTTATGTGAGGGACTGCAGATGGAAATTAGCTCAAAGCTAAATCTGACACTGTTACGCTTGACACAATTTAATGTTTTAAGTGTTCATTACTGTGCATTGTCCCTAGCCAAATAAACGATTCAATAAATAAATAGAGACACTCAACTGGCATGGCTACTTTCACACCAAGCACAGCCAAAACAAAAACATGTATGTTGGTCAAGCTGTAAAAGATGAACTGCTGGTGTGTATGTGGCTGGTTCAACTGTCAGGGATTGTGTACGTGTGTGTCGCTCTAGTCTCTCTCTGACATCCCCAACCTTGGCTCCAACACTACAGCAGTCTAGGCCAACATCCAAGATGAAATTGTTCCCGACCACTGATCTCAGAGCAGCGCTCCCTGCTACATCAAATGCTGCTTTAATCCACTTCAAGATACTGGTGCTATCCTGTTGTGATTGTGATTCTTTATTCAAGACATGGTTAAACCATACACTCCAGCATGTGCACTTCACTCTGCAACAGCCAATCAGCTCACTTCACCATCCCTGTGACTAGAACAGAAGACAGGACAGCAGAAATCCTACAAATCCTCCATTGCAAAATGAAAATCCACCAGTTTCCATTGTACGTTGGCCATAAAATTCTAAATAAATTCCCACTTCTGTATGTAGCACTTAAAAGCTTTGGTTAAGTTGAAGACAATGCAGTAGGATTCACAATGGTTTGGATTATTGGAAGGTAATGGACTTGCAGGATTCCTGCTAAATGAAATGCAATGTAATGTAAGGACTGAGTAAGGACTGTTAAAAGAGTTGGCAGTGGTTCAACGCATCTCCTCAAGCAAAGTCTAGAAAAGGATTTTAGTAAAACGATTATGTTCTCTTTAAAGGTCACATGTCATGGCCATTTCCACTGATCATAATTCCATTGTTGAGGTCTACTAGAATAGATTTATATTGTGCAATTTTCCAAACTCACATTGGTTTCTCAAACAGCATCTCTGTAAACTATGTGTATTCACTGAATTTCTCCAATAGCTCCAGCCTCCACCCTCCCTGTGAGCAGTGTGCTCTGATTGGTCGGGACGTTGTGAATCGCGCTAAGCTCCGTGGAGGTGTGGTTTCCTTGTTTAGCGATACACAGCGAAACACAGC